TAAGAGACAGTAATTATTCTGTCATAAATATTATATAATATTACATTATTATTATACAATAGAAAAATTTGCTCGTTTAGGATTGTTCCGTCTGTTTTTTTATTCATTCGGTCTAAACATGGCTTAAGAATTTTATGTAACGAGTCGTTTGAAAAATATGTACGCGCCGGGCGTAAAATACAAGGTGGACGACGCTCAGTTTGCAGAGGTTGCATAGTGAGACGGCTGAGCAGCGGTGCCCGAGCGTGTCCCGTGTGCAATGTCGCAACGTCTCCGCCGCTCTTGCCGGACGTGAAGCTACAACGCCTCGTGTACCTCGTGGTACCGGGCCTCTTCCGCTCGGAGCTCGAGCGAAGGCGTCACTTCCGGCTGGTGAACCCGCAGTGCCCGCCGCTGGCGCTACCGCTGGGCGCCTTGAACTTAACCTTGGACGATTTTGTCAGCCTGAGCTTGTGCGAGCTCGACGAACCGGAAGAGGAGGAGCGCGCCCACGAGTCAGAAAGCCGTGCCGGGTCACGGCATCGAACGAACGCCGATCGAACGAAACAAGAGGAGGCGATTCGGGTTAAGAGCACGCGATACCTTAAGTGTCCGGCAGGAGTGACGGTACGACACCTGGTACGACTGCTGATGCTGAAGAGAGGCTGGGAGGAGGCGAATTCTCCGGAGAACGTCAACAAGATCGAGATACTGAGCGAGAAAGGCAAGAAAGATCGACGCGACGCCGAGAAGATGGTGGTTCTGGACCAGTCGTGGACTCTGCTAGACCTCGCATGCATATTCGGATGGAAGAGAGTGAGTTTTCAATATTTTTTTGCATCCCATCATTAGATGTCTCCGTAATTTGCTTTCCGTCCGCATCGGTTTCATTAAAAATTCATGATGTTCGTACGACGTTGATCATTTGCCTTGCGATAGCCTTAATCATTTCCTATTGCATCGGTCATACGCGGAACATCGTACGTGACGGTGCAACATACAATAAGGGAAGCGATCATTTTTTACGTTGCAGGAAGCACCGATGAAGCTGTTCTATCGCGTGGTTAAGAAAGAGGACGTTATCTCCGTATCGAGAGTGAGTCCGTACAACGGGGAGGATGCCGGAAACGGTAAGGACACGACCGGGACTATGGAAAATATTCAGAGACCGCCGACGCCGCCGCCGAGCCCGAAACCCCCGCAGGAATGCGAAGTCGAGGCTCGTAGGATTTTAGAAAGTAGCACCGAGCCGCTTCGATCTTTGGAAACCAACTTGGAACGTGACAAAGAGCCGAAGGTGAAGAAGCCCCGTTGCGAAGTGACTCCCGTGATACGAACGCCCGACCTCGTACCGATACAGACGAATCAAGCACCGGAAGGATCGAAGACCAAAGACCTGGCCAGGCTGGAACACCGTAAGCACAGGAAACGGCGGAACAAACGAGTGATCGCCGAGATCACCACGCCGCGGGAAGATTTATTGAAGTTGAAGTTCCGATTGACCCCGTGCCCGCCGAGGATCACGTCGAGCGCAGGCGGTACCCAAACGAAGGAGAAATTGCTGCAGATGAGGGCCGTCAGAAGGGAGAAGATCAAAGCGACGACGATAAGTCAGCAACGATCGGCCGGCTTGGAAGGCGCTGCCACGAAGGAGAATATCGGAGAGACGGAAGAGACGATAGAAGAAATAATCGACAGCATCCCGGACGAGGTCGTTCGAATCGCACAAAATATAACTGCTCCAGAAGAAATTACTTCCACAGCACCGAGAGTCGAGCAAAGAGCCACAGCTTCCAGTTGCAGACCGTCGAAAAACGAAGAAACTGAGTCCGAGACTGTGAAAACGGTGGAGAAAAGTGGATCGGAACGGCCGAAGAAGGACGAGGAAATTCTTCGACGTTTGGGTTTGGTGTCTGTAGTCGAGGCCGGCGACAAGGCGAAACAGCGCGTTCAAGGTAACGGGGATAAGGCCGATAATTTGGATCGGGAGAAGCTCGAGAAACAAATACGCGAGAGCAAAGCGAATCGTATGAGGAGTCTGCTGGCTGAGAAGCAGATGCGCGACGCGTTGAAGATAATGTCGAAGACGAAGGAGGATCATTCGGCGCCCGCGCCACCGCCAGTGCAGCAGGTTAACAATCCCCCGAAGAAGAAAGGTCCGCCACCGTTAGCGCCATTGCGCGTCGCGAAGCCTTCCGGTTTCGCTACGTCAAGCGCCATTTTGGAACCGAACAATTCCAAGTACGAGATCCCATTGGACCTCAGTAGCGGTGGCACCATACACGGTAAGATCCTGGATCTGTCCGCGAATTTGTCGACTAGCAATTTCTCCACGTCTCCATCCTCGTCTTCTTCTTCGTCTCCTTCCTCCTCCTCGTCGTCCTCGTCCTCGTCCCCTTCGTCTTGCTCCGTGTCTCCGTTGAATCCACGGACACCTATCATTTTAAGTAACTTGCTAAGAATGAAGACGAAAGACTCCGATCAATGTTCTGTATCTCCGTTGAACACGCGGGCATCTGTCACTTCAAGTAGCTCGCCAAAAGGGAAGATGAAAGACTCCGATCAACGACGAAACCAAGATTCCAATCTAATGACACTTTCTAACGCCGCTGTGTCCCTGCTAAGCGGATGCGTCGCCAACAAGGATTCGGTCGATCCTCTGGTGCTCAGTTCGGCGAACCTCGCCAGCAAGGTGGCACTCAGAATACCGCAACCTCATCAGAGAATCTCCGGTTTCGGTATGAAAATCAAACCGAACCTGAGCATCAGGCACATCCCCAATCCCCAGGCTGTGGTCGCGTCGCAGTACAGAAATCAAAGAGTCAACTACTTCAACACCGCCTCGCAGCAGCCACCGTAAACGGGGAGGCTACTCACTGACTATACCTGACACCAATTACCCGGCATCCTACTCCATTTTGTTCGCTACTTCCTATTATTACGCGTAAATGATGCGAAACGAGATTCCTATGCGACCAACCCAAAGGCTGTACGTTACCATACATTTTCTCCCGCTTCCTAAGTATATTCCTGTTTGGTGAAACGCGAAGAGTTTCGCGTGGGTACGAAGACACACGGTAGGTAAAATATATCTAGCGAACGCAACTAAACTAGATCGTCCTCTTGGAAGTGAACGCGAGGCAATATTTAACTATGGTAAGGCTAAACGAAACGAATACACTCTTAAAAATGAACGAGTAGACAGTATCTATAGTATGAGAAATTGATTAGCCACGAATCGTGTGTCTCTTGCACTCGAGGAAAGAACAATGAAAATATCGATCCGTTGTTACCTAAATATCCTAAACGATGTATGTTTGTAATGCATGCATGTGTGTCTATGATCAATGATTAAACGCAAGTTATATACTTCCGTTTCTGATGGATGGATTTCTAAGGAGAGTCGAAATTTTGGCAAACGGCTCTATGCCCGTCAGAGGTGACGGGCGTTAAACGTAATTCAACGTATAGTTAGGAGTTACAAGGGCGGGTGACCGATTAGAAACACGGTGGATAGACTTCCACGTGTTGTCTATTCCTTATTAGAACACTGGAAGATTATATACTTCTTATAGAGATGCCAAAGAACGCCAGAGAACGTGTGCAATGTATTAGTGCAATTTAATTATCGTCTATAATAATATAATTCATATATTACGAGCGACTTATTGCGGCGTAGGGCCGACTTAGTTTCGTGGTTTAAGGGTAGATGCTAGTCGTTACGGCTAAGGGTATGCGAATCGGATGGATATAATTGCAAGTAATATCTATCAAGAGATGAATAACCGCAAAGAGCTTTCTAAAAGCTTCTTTTTCGACGTTTGATTCTCGATATAGAAGTGTACGCCGTTCAGTCGAGAAGCCGCTCCCAACGTATTAAAGAGGGGGCTTTTATTTCCTAAAAGTGTAAACTCATATCGCTGTTATTGATTTACGAATAATATTTATTATCGTCGAATTTATTATCGAGAATTTCGGAGACACTGGAAAATCTAAACTCGAATGAGTGCGAACGAAAGCTTGATACGACGATTTTTAATACTGTATCGGACTTTGTATAATCGAATAGAACTGATATCGTTGATACAAGGAAAGTAATAAACACGAACTTGATTTAAAGGGTATTTTAAAACGTTTAGCAGGAATTCAGATCCTACTCGAACGATCAGAATAATCAAGCGTTAACGATATAATACGCATCGATCGCGGGCGTACGCGTTGCTTACAAAAGCGTACGATAAATAGGCTGAGAGTCATATTGACGTTATGGTAAATTTAAACGTATACAATTTCTTAACTTCTAAAAATATCGTTTGCTAAACTAATTAAACTCGTTTTCTAAACTACTAATCTTATTCCCTGTTTAGAAAAATTTTATGAGGACAGCCTACACCATTATGATTCTCTACCTCAATTATTAGAAGATGAGACAACGTGTGTACGTGAAAATGCAATTTTAAACAATTGATCGAAATAAAGTTTGAGATTGAAACAAAAAAAAAAAGATGGGATGAGCAAACGTTCACGATACGAAATCGGATACTTATAGTATATTTGAATTCCTTGAATGACGAAATTTACGTCAATTAGTTACACGGTTGCCTGTCGTTAACGACGTTATAGCGGGAGAGGGGAATCACGCGATTTCGATTAAGCTAAAAATCAAAAACTGCCAGTTTAGGAAACGCGAGGGTTACGCTCGTTAGAATTTACGGTGAATTAAATGGGACCCAGACTTTTTTACATATTATTTTTCTACGGCCTTTTTAACCACGGAATCGCATTACGTTCTACAGTTACGATCGGTCATAATTTACCCGTTGATCCGCCGATTGTAGGATCATATCCAAGTTAAACAGACTGCGTAGCAAGATAATGTTCATTCGGGTCGATGATTTGCGACACGATAGATAGAATAGTTACAAAGACTGCGAAGGTTTTAATATCCGATTTGTTTCAAGAGCGAATAGCTGCCACGTAACCAATTGTCTGAAACAACGTTCGTTGCGTACTTCCTTGTTAACGACGCCAATAATATCGCCGACATAAATCGTATCTGAAACTAGAATTCGAAAAGACTTTAACGCGCAGGTATGCCCTTAGGTAGGTAATAGGTAGGCGCCTGCCTACCCTTCGATACCTTGCGTCGTAACGAGGGATCAAGAATTCTTCTACGACCTTGAATATCCCGAGTTTTCTTGAATTGTGTCCAAGTAAATGACGTATCCTATAAGCGTAGTGCCGAGAGTGAAAAAAAAAGGCTAAAAATTGTCGTTAAAGCGATCCGACAAAAAATCGCAGTCCTAATAGTCCGGGAGATTTCTTAAATACATTTCTTAAATACATTTACGCAAACTTCACTTTCTGGTATGAGTTATCCGTGTGACATATAATAGTAATATGATCATCTTTTCCAATTGATCCACAGGCCAGGGGATTACAGAAGGTTACTACTGTACTAATACTTCTTTGTATAGTAAAAAACACAAAAATAGTAGTCTTCCATCTGTAAGATAGGACAAAGGTCATCTTCCAAGCCTAGAAAGTTACGCTCCGCATACGGTCATCACATGGCGTACAATTTATACCTGAGGAAATGTATTCGTTCAGCGTCTCTGCAAGTAGTTAGTAGCATCCTTGCTGTCTGCATGAAAAGTCTGTTTCGGGATAAGTGATTTGTAAAACGGGTAGGGACCAACTCGAACCAGATGCCGGAACTTATTTTATTATTTTTTCTTTTTACCGTTTTGAGATGAAGTTTAAAGAGAATGAGTAAGTTCGAGTTGTTAGTTTCGTTCGTCATGGGTTCGGATCCATCTGCGATGCATGCTACTAGTCAAGTACAATAATCAGAGAAAAGGGAAAAAGTACTCAGATTTTTTTTGCGCTTACTTATGTGAGCGGAAAACGACCTCTGTTCCATTTTGTACATGGAAGACTATTATTTTTGTGTTTGTTACTATACAAAAAAGCATTGTAATCAATTTCATCCATGCGGGTATAAATTTTTTTCGTTAATTTTTTGCTGTACTTGTAACCCTTCTGTGACCCCCTGCCCAGCTCAGCTGGAAAAGACGGTCATATTACTTACACGGATAATTCATACAAAAAAAGTGAAGCTTGCGAAAATAGTCCCGAAATTTCTTTCGCTACCTCCCGGACTATGAGACCGAACTGTACTCGACTGTTTTTAAACTTTTTAACAAAGTCACGTTGTTTTCGTTGCGGAGCCTATTATTAACGTAGTTATGACGTGAATTTCTGTTTAAAAATTTTAGAACCGTAGTGAATGATAGGACAAAATACGTTATGGTCTGAAAGCACTTCGGTCCGTGGTATAGAATGTAACTAATTAGACAGTTACTATGATCATGGCCATGAATAGTAAATATGTAACGCAATACAGTATTCCCGCGGTAAACAAGCTGTGAGTTGTAATCGAATTAAGGATATCAATAGTCACTAAGGATACAGTTATTAAAACACTAAAAACTATTCGTGTTCTATGTTATGTATATTTTAATTTCGTTCTACGTTATCCTCTTACTGGATCATGGAACGGACCTAAAACAGCCAATATTTTATTAGCGCATTACCTACGATTCGATTAACTCTAGAATCATCAGTAAACAAGGTATTATTATACTAGATATTTGTATCAAACAAATTTTTTGATCATCGTCATTGCTAAATGTGCATTGCATAAAATTATTCCATGTGAAATTAGGAACCGGTAGTTTCGACTGTTTCGCTGGTTCTTGACAAACGATACGACGAGCAAAAGGATTGCGCGTCGTATACAATGTGACTGAATCAAAATCGACAAAAGATTGAAGTTACCGTAGATTAAGTCGCAAGATGACCCGAGCTATAAATACGTATTCCATACATACATAATATTGCTATACTACATACGTACGTACATGTATTTACACAGTACCATTGATCGTTCGAGTATCTAATTATCCATGTCATTATCGCATGGTTCTCTTTGTTTGAAAACTACCGTGTCATCGCTTCTCGTCGGCGATTAATTAATCGAAAATGTTTGTTATCGCTAATTAATGCGATTAATCCAATGTTTTGTTAATATTGTTTTTTCCAGAATCATGTTACACCAAGTGTATGTTCATTGCTCGTCAATAAATCATGATATGTATAATCAGAAACGTCTAATTACGTATTTCATCTCACTCGTTCCCTTTGATGTCTAGAATAAGTGACTATCCATTAATTTGCGCTGGAAAACATATATGCAACATCTTAAAAAATATATCCTATCTGTGTACCCATCAATAATGTCCTGAGGTATGCAACTTAGAAATCACGAAAATATAAACAAGTGACTCTTTCGAGTTTTCGAGACACGCATAGTAATCCAGCATCTCCACGCCATTTTTGCGTTCAGTCAGAAGCGACGTAGTACTTCGTACACGCATGTACTCATCTTAATTTAACGATACAATTGAAATATCAATATTCCTACGTTCATGAATATCGTATCGACCGAACGGTAAAACGGAACTTATCAAAAGATATCAATAATCAGAAGAGATCGACGCGACGAGGTATCCTATTCATATAATTCTAATTCGTACGAAAGTACAATAACTTGATTTCGTAAGGGACGTCTAATTATAATTTTAAATACGTCGAAAGTATAATTAAAAATAATCAATTTATTATTCTTATTATTGATTCTGAGTTTATACGAAATGAGTTATTCATTTTATTCCACACTATTTTGTGGTAGATTCATATTACTTGCATACTCGAGATAGAATTTTAATATACTGTCGTGCGAGTTAGAATTAATTATGTGAATATGAAGCGTCGATATTTGAAATAATTCTCTGATCTACGTGCTAACGAATAATCGAAAAAGTTACGAACGAGTCGGGGAGCCCGTGTAAATGGCGGAATAAGATTTAGGTAAAGGTTCACCGTGTCCCCTGGTGCATCGATTCCCTCGAGCGAAGCTTGGTTTATCAGCCAGTACAGGCTGCACGGAGGGGCACGAAGAGAAAATTCACGGGGAATCGCATAAGAGGTAGTAGTACGTACAAGGGGTCCGTGGATGACCTTCGTTACCTTCGGCCCCAGTAGGAGGCTGGGTACGAGGATAAAAAAGCGAGGAGGGTACGAAGGATGCCAACCTTCGACAACCTACATTAGGTACGGGAGACGAGGAGTCAGCCTGCGGCCGCGGGTCACGGAAACTCGACCGCTGATTGGCTACAACCTCCCCCAGGGAAGTGCGTCGAGAGCGTCGGAAGTGAAGAGGGGTGAGCTCGCCTAGAGCGTAGCCGTTCTTACACGAGGCGAAACGTCCGTTTCCAAGGAGGATTTTGCCTCGGTCCCTAATGACGATCGTACTACTATTCCAGCGCAACGTGTGCACTCGCCTCCCTTGGTAACCGCTTCCCCCTCTTTCTCTCTCTTTCTCAACGATTCGTCTTTCTCTCTTTCTCTTTTTTTCCCCCTGTTACACACTCTCCCGAATTTGATCTCCCTCTTTTCTTTCTCGCACTCTGTTGCCCCGGTCAGGCACGCTCTAATGCCGCCACCCCTTCGATCCCTCCACTACCTCCCGTCCCATAACGGCCTGCCCTTGTCGATTTCCATCCCATCGAACTATCCCTTTGCCAGCTTCTGTTTACGCCACACACGTTGTACGTACGTACCTACACTCTTATATTCAACGAGAGAGAAAGAGACAGAAAGAGAGGGAGAAAAAAAGTGAAAAGAGACGAAGGAGAAAGAGTTGGATGAAGCTGGTCAAGAAAGAGAGAGAAGGTAGGGATGGTAGATAAGGGAGAAAAGGGGTGGAAGGACGAGGGAGATGGGAAATTGTACGAGAACGAGGTTGAAGGAGAATGGTTGCGCGGAAAGAAGGACAAACGAAGAGGGAGTAAATGAGGAGTAGGACAGAGAAGGAGGGATGCATCGAAAAAGAGAGAAAACATACGTGTATCTATGTGAACTCGCGTTCGCTCGCGTGCTCACTCATACATGAAACGTGGACACAAATACATGTCGGGTACGAGTCTACGAGGGATACCTACACATTCATCCGCACCCTCCTACTGCCGAATGTAGTAGAGAATGAATAATGTACCCACGTACGGCCGATGTCAGGAGGGGCTCCAGGGAATGTAAGCATCGGTCCGTCCCCTCCGTAGGCTTTGTAGGCCGTTTATCGAAACGGCGCGGCGCAGCCGTCTGCGACACGGGATTGCTCGTAGGCGATCCTAGGATGCCGCCGTCTTGGCTTGCACTATCTACGTAAATAATAATCACGCGCTAAATCCGTATGAGTGTAGACACAATCAGAAAAGTTCTACCTTCCGAGATAAAATGAAAATAATTTTTTTCTAACACATTGTTATACGATGTGTATATGAATCATTGACAGTCAATTGTTTATAAACATTAATTGTTTATAACAATTATTAACAATACGTATATCATTTATACAATTTGTACATTCATTGATTACAATCATGAAAGATGATTACATATGTCCATTAGTGTATCCTACATTAATCAGTTTAATAGCAATAGTACGATTGAACATTAAATAGATGGGGACTGGAGAAAGTATTACAAGCCCTCGTTACGGTCTATACTTTATATTAGGCATAATTTCAGTGTCTCGTCTTCGATCGCCGCACGCAAATAGGTGGAGTGCTAGCAGGAGGCGAATGAAAGAGAGAATCGGCCTCACGCAGCTCGACGAAACACGTGGAACCTTTCCCAAAAGCGTATATCGACCGATAACGCGGCGCAGGCTCACTGGAGATCTTACACGTATACCAATATATCCTCCGACCGAATGTTCGGATCGGGCCGCCCACGTATCACCTACAGGTTCCGTACACGAAGAAAGGGAACGATTCGCGGAACGACCGACAAAGAACGAGAGTCGAGGAACCCGAAGAAAGGACCAAGGGAAAAAGATAGCTGCCCATCTAGCGGCGTCTCATTCGCTCGTGACTCGAGCCGCGTTCCACAGGCTGAAACGACCGACCATCCGTCTGAGCCTTTCCTGGTGGGGATAGCCCTCCAAGGGATCCTTCCAGAGCTTCGGGAGGAAGCCCCACAGTCGCTACTTTCCGGAACGACGTGCGTAGATATGTATGTATGCCAAAAGGGAGACCCGCAGGGCTGCCGAAGGGACGGAGGGTAAGGAACGCGTACGCACCATGCGAATATTTTTGTCGGTATCCACCGACTGTTCGGGAAGAGGTAGAAGGGGGAACAGTTCTTAAAGTACACCCAGGGAGTGTCAGGATTGGAAGGTCGATTGCCATGGTGGGAGTGTGCTGTTAGTTGCCTCATAGCTGACTGGCGTAATTAAAAACGCCCGTAATTAATGCTTCCCCGTCGAGCGTCGATTAACATCGACTTTTCGGAGGGCACGTTGCTGGAACGATTCTCCCTCCAGATTTACTCGTGTCTCGACAAATTTCAAATCACACGACGCACATGCATTTATTTACTTATATTTCGTTGGATCTTTTCATACAGCTACCAACTATGTATTGTGCGGCTACGGCACGCATGAATGCTAACGCGTACATTGTGTACCAGGGATATTAATTATGCATATTGTCGCGGTGCGTTCATTGCACAACAAAGATGCAGCTTGCGTCATTTTGATGCATTGTAACTCCGATGGTTTTAATCTTACCAACCGATTGTTCTTCTTTTTTTTTTTGTTATTCTTTTTATAGAACGAGCTCGTCAACTAACGCCGTTCGGTGAAGTATAACCGCCATTTTGGTCCTCATGGGTTTTAGGTTGAACGTGTATATCTTTGTCAATGGTTTATTCAAACTTAATTCGTGCTCCGTAAATCTTTTGCCAAAATTCTACCTATTCTTTTTGTAAAACAAGTAATGATCTACTTGAGAAACACGTTCGAATCTGTACCCCGTTTTCGATATCGTTACCGAATGTATCATGCAGCTCGAACACAGTCTTTCACGTCTGACCAACGTCAATCTCGGTAGATCTCTAATAATAAACCTGAAGACCGTGAAGATTACGTGTCCCCGGTGAGACGAAAACGTTGGCAGATTGAAAGATTATTCGACAGCGCAAGCGCGCCGTACGCGCAAATAGCAAGCGGGTGTACGTCACGGAGAGCTGTATGCTGTACTTGCACACGAAGACTCGCATTCGGACACTTAGGTACGCAAGTGCAAATTCAGGTTCACAGCATTCGCGTGCACCTGCGATAAATCTATACAATGCCTTGGTATTCTTCTTTTCCCTTGCGCATAGAAAGAAGTGTTCGTTTGGAATAAATAATAGATACATCAAACTTAATATCGTTATCCTCATTTAGATGGTCTACGAATTTTTACAGTTGAGATTTTTTCCGCAAGGCTTTGTGATTTCCTATATATTTATATTAAATACACATAACTACTATGTTCAACACTCTTTTTCACACTATGATCATACATTCGCATTCATGTATTTTATTCAGCTCGAACGATTGTTGATACAGTTCCTGCTTTATAAATTCCCATTAAATTAGAACTATTAATATTGAAAATGGGTTAATAAAAGAAACTTACTGAATATAATCTTTCACTACGGCTTGGGAGGTCGACTGTTCTTTAAGAAATTCGCACTGCAAATGAGGAAAAGTCTACCACTCTTCAAGTCAACGAAAGTTTTCGGGCCTTATCAAAGAAAACCGACACTGACCGCACACAGTGTCTACGACCCAGCTCATCCTTAATAAACCCGTGCTACACACACGCTGTGCTAGTAGTAGAGTTTCACATGAACATAAGATTCGCTTTTGTTAAATTTCATGGTTACTTGTCCAGGGATTCAGGGGTAAGTGTCGTGCTGTGCTACACAGTCCTCTTACCAGAAGGTTTCGTTTCCTTTCCCACTCCGTGACCAGATCCTTAGAATACTTTTACTATAATATACTCTTAAAAACTAGGCCGCCCATTCCTTACGTGTTGTTCCGACCATAGCAACAATTACGAAAAAAGTGGAGATGTCATGCGGCAACTACCTGGAAGAATTTTCCACGTTCGCCCGGTCCCTTTAATGATTCTACATGTTTGGGGAACCTCAATTCCCATCTCGGTTCCATGTAGGAGGGATTTTTTTAAACATTGCAAAATGCCTTGAAAAAAAGGGAAACCAATGACAGGATCAATCATCCCCAAAAGTCTCTTCCAAACCAATGAAGGGTAACATAGATTTGGAAAAAGACTTGAAAACCGAGGACAAGCGTTCGTGTCCTGATCGACAACCATTCGACAACGAGTATTCGCATCGAAAGAACATAAAACTAGCATTCGTGTCTTAAGAAAATATTCTCATGAAAGGTTTCATTCGTATTTATAACCGACAAATATTCGTGTCGATAGCCGTTTGAATTAATTGCACAAAATTAATTTGGCGTGCAATCTGTTGTACGAAGCAACACTTGTTGACCTCGACACGTGCAATTATCTTTAGAACGGACTTGCCGCTAATATATCTGTATTTATAAATAAAGCAACAATTAACAATTGCGTAAACGGATTGATCCATATGCAATCCTTTTTCATTGCTCAATTAATTAACTAAGCATCTTAGATTTGAATAAATAATATCATGATTGACTACCCAAGCTCGCGTGAAAATAAATTTAGCCTATAATAAGTTCAATTCTGATACGATGACATTTCGAATTAGACGATCAAGAATTGAATGGGACTAAGTGAGAGGCTTTCACGTAAGTATGAAAAATGTTGTTAGGGAGCTTGAACGTGAACTAACAAAGGCATGAGATTTATAAGATAAGCCGACGATAAGGGACGGCACGGTCGTGCGATTGAAGTCACTAAACGTTGTGTAACGAAGCTAAGGTTTAAATTACACGTGTAGTACATTGCGTTATGAATGCGTTTATTTTCGGTAGGGACCAAAATGGCGCGACTCTTGTAGGTATAGGGTACTTCGTCGCGTTCCGATGAAGACTTGGATCGCTTTTACGGGTTTTATAATGTTAAATATATAGAAGTACTAATAAAACTAATATTCCAGCCTACTGGAAATGGACTTATTTACAGTTAGTTACCCCTATTCTCAAATTCCTCCATTCCATATACTATACTCAGGACCGGTGTGATCATTTGCGGGACCAGAATACACATTTAAATCCTATTGTTAAATTTCACAATAAGGAATTATTTATTATAAGTACAAAGGATGTCACACATATTTCTTTTTGCATTGATTTTAAGTTAAAAGAGGGAAAATAATTGGGAAAAACACTTACCTTTTTCAAAATATATAATAGCAGGCGCTCTAACATTTGATCTCAACACTTAATATCAATGTCATTGCAACGAAATATTTCACTGCAAAGACGAGAGAGAAAATTTTGCACTCATGTCAGTGTGCAGCAAGTTGTCATCGATTAGTGGATTATGCTATTGCATTTTTCTTACACACCCGAATATTCAGTCTACTATACAGGAGGTCCTGCAAAATGTGTGATGAATTTTCGTAGACCGCGGGGTCTTTCAAAACGCGGAGCCGGGTTCCGGCGAACGCGCTATAGCACATGTAGGTGAAAATTTATTTACTGGTACCAATATTTCTGATTGGGAACAAGAAAAGTGAATGAGGTGAGCAATGGCTTAGATAAAGCAGCACGTTGCAGATTGCAAGTTAATCTTTAGGTTCAATTCAGCAACGACATGTCTTTCGAGATTCGAATAAAACTGTTCCCGTCTCTTGCTCCCAGTCCTCTTTAGATTTTTGAGAAACCGGAACTGGGTAATGCAATTCCCTTTGCGCTCTTTCGACAGGGAGTCAAGATACCAAATGTATACATCCGGAGTAACGGTTGAAGTGTCGTCCTTTACAAAAACTCGATCTCACCCTCTAAATCTGCCACATTCTCATAAGTGGGGACGCTAACATACAATCTTACACCCTCGAAAGAGAAGAGAAAATCACCTCTAAAGCAGATGATTTAGTGCATCAGCACCATTTGACTCTTCACCTTAAGGACTACAAGAAAACTTAGCCTAAGCACGTACGAAGATAATCTTTCAATCAAAGCTATCACCATTATCGCATTCAGGCATATAAACAGGCCATTGAAAGATTTATGTGTCACCTGAATTTGGGTGACATGGCAGTCAAAGTGGTTAACTCTGATCTTAGCATAACAATTATAAAACTCTCTCCTACCAACCGTTATAATTTCACATAATATAATGTTAAATATAAAAGTGTCATAGAAGAATATTACCATCGATTTCAAATATAACAGAAAATGATTAACGAATCTTCGCCTACGTAATATAAAAGATGACAATAGCATCAAATGACGACTTAGCAATTACATGGCTGTTTGTGAATCATAAACTCACACTGTAATATAATGTTTACTATCGTTTAGACTCACAGCCTTTACCTTGAAATACGCAACCTTACAATGCCTCCTGTACGGTATTCCTAATTATTACCTCCGTCGGTTCCTTCTTACTAATCCTGGCAGTTTTTCGATAATTAACAGGAAAGTAAAATTTTTATAACTTTAACCGATTAGTGCATGGACGATACCAATTGAAAACCAGGTATGTACAAAGGGGGACGACAAATTTCAGCGAACTTGCCACGCCCATCGAGCACCCTTCCGAAAAGCCGTCCTAAATGAATGATCTGAGAAGCAGTCTTTATGTTTCCTGCGTTTCTCACTTTTGTTAGTGAATATAAATACGAAATTTTACGACATAGGAGGCTTCGAAGAGTACAAAGGGTCCTACAATAAAATCAGAGAAAGTGTTCGAACACGTGGGGTGCAAGGTACTCGAAGATGAAGTGCGGCCGCATGTACACGTCGCAACTGGTTAAAATAACATCCGTAGTACAAATTTGTCGTTTTCATCATAATTTAGCTGATTTTACCCGCAGCATTGCGCTGACTGGCTGCTGGCACTTCTCGGTCGCTGTTCGTGCGGTGGCCGACCGACTCGGGTTTTCCAACGTTGAACGGGTTTATCGCGCGTTTGTTCAAACACACACGCAAATCCATCAGGCAGCGCGGTCGGGAGCGACGATTTCTGTGGCCGACGCGTTGTAATTGGCGGTCACCAGCCAGGGAAGGAGAAGGGAGCGAAGGGCATCGTAATGCTGTAGCTGCACGCGGGGGTCGTTTCTGCGTCCGCGAAGAGCGAGGCGAAAGAGGAACAGCCGTGGCCGGAGATGCATGAAAAGCAAGAGAGGAAGTAGCATGCGGAGAGCACGAAGGGAGGGGTAACACGATAGAAGGGTGAGGTATAGGCACATAGATAGAGGGGGGCTCGTAACCCGGCTGGTGACGTGGTGTGATTGTGTGATCCTCGCTGGGGTGAAAGAGGAGTAGTAGAGTCGTTTCGTAGTGTGCCTCGTTGGTATGTAATGCATTAGTGTCGGTACGTATCGCTCGCTGGAGGGAGAAAGAGAGAGCGAAAGAGAGAAAGTGGATAGGTAGAGAAAAGGGATGGTCAGAAGCTCGCATAGAGCGGAGCGGAGAGAAAAACAGCTCGGTGTCGGCAGCGAGGCAGGCAGGCATACAAGGTAGACAAGGCAAGTCGAGCAAAATCGAGTTCTCCGGCGGAGGCCAGGCAGGCTAGGTGAGCTAGTCAGGCGAACAACCGAGCAGAGACACGATGCTCGAAGGGGCAGGAAAGAGTTCACGTTCAGGGAGCGAGACAAAGAGAGACGACGGGTAAACGGAAAAGGGGGAGAAGAGAGTGCATAAAACGAAACGGCAGGCGTAGCGAGGAGCGTGTAAAGCCTGGAGGACAGGCGAGAGGGAGCGTGGAGGGGAGAAACGTGGAGCGGTAAAAGGGGACGCGCGGCGAAGGGACGCAGGTATCCCCCCCCGAAGGGTGGGGAAAGAGGGGAAAGGGCATATCCCACTCCGGGTTTTCAGTTTAGTTTGGCGTGAGTCGCCGTGCAGTTCTGGTGTCTCGTCTGCGTGCACGTTCGTCCTCGATGTCGCCCATTTCCTCGGTTTAGTACCAGAAACTTCCGCGACGTATTCCGCGGCGCCTTCGTACGGACTCATCGTGTTCTTGGTTATACTATCCGTGCGCTATTGTTGTCGCGAGAGTTCTCGTCGGATTTATTCTCGTCTTGTTTTTATTCCGCGAGTCAATCCGGATCGTCGTAACGCAGTTTCGATAGCTGGCGCATTGTCGGTCTGCGAGTGCAAGGTGAAAGTAAATCCCGCTCTTCTGGCGGTGGTTAAGTCGAATGCCAGGGAAGCTGGTCGTACATCGCGAAATCGCGTATACGTGGGACACGAGACGTCTCTGTCGCCTGAACAGCAGCCCATCACACGGATTTGTAAAAAAGACAGTGGAAAGTTTGTACCGGAACACTGGCTCGCACAAGTTCCCCCTGCAAAAGTCTCGTTCAAACACGGACGACACGGCTCCGCTTTGTGTACGTACAAGACAAGTATAGTATGTTCTACTACCATAGAGACGTTTAGCTACTCCGATCCTCTCGTGTGCGTGTGCGTACAGTCGCACGAACAGAACGGCTCGCATGCTCGCACGTAAGTACGAGCAGGAGCACGCACACACTCTATCAGCCGATATACCGCTTTCCAACGAATACGCTTGTGTTCGCACATAGACCTACTCGCCGGTTGAATGCTGAGAAACAACAGGGAGAAACAGGGAGGGAGAGAGACCGAGGGAGAGAGAGAAATGTGATGGAGCGAGAGGAACGGAGAGGGCGGTTTCCTCCATCTTTTTCTCCCTCCCTTCTCTTGTTCCATTTCGCTCTAACTTCCTCCGTCTCTCCCTTTTTCTCTCGTTATTACTCGTTTACCCCTCTCCCGCATCCTATATTCTTGCTTCTTCGATTCCCTCTCGCTTGAACCCGCATGCTCCACCTCGCTCTGCCTACGCGTACTCGTGTATTTATGCGTTTTCTCATATTCGCGTTGCCTCCTCTTTCGTTCTCGACGAAATTGCTCGGTATGCTCGTTCACGACACGACGATCGAATAAACATCGACCGAAGCACGGGAAACACCGCCGATTCTCTCCAACAGACCTGTCGGCCGGCTCCGCCGAGTTTCCCGGCTTTTTCCGACCGCGAGCGCCAGCTGGCTACTGTCCGAAATCAAAGGTAACGGCACACCGGAAAGCTCCTCTCCACTGAAAAAACTCGTTGCGCCGCTTTCGTCACGATACGCTCGTTCTCTTCGCTACTACCGCACGCGCCTTTCTACGTTGTCTACGACACACGAGAAAATGCGTTCCCATCGATTGATCAGCTGGTCGTCGCGACGACCAAAACCCCGTGAAATGTCAGATAGACGCGTACGTATGTACAGAATGAAACAATAAGCAGAACATTCGTCATTCGATAAAATTGATCGATCAATAGATGAAATCAATGAAATTAGTTTGAAAACCTTTCGTCACAAATTGTCAATTGGTTAATTGACAGCTTGAAATTCAGATTTATATCAATCGAGTGATTGTTATTGTTTACGAAATGGAGGTTTAGAATGATTACTACAAAGATCACTATAATGTTTCTCGAAGTGATGAGAAACTCTCCCTGTGGAGAATCGAGTCACAATTCGTTTAGCTGTTAAACTATTTTTAGGAATTGAAAAACACGATTAACCCTCGTGTCCTATTTAGGTTCGTACGGATCCAATATTTTTAAAACTACGCTAACTTTTATCAGAATCGTTCATAATTTCGATTATTGCGTGATTGGCGTAAAAACTTCTTAACGCGATAAAAATGGTAAACACGATTTTCCGAACCTTGATCTATCGATTCGCAGTGCTAAGTATTAAAAGCATCATGCATCGACACGTGACGATCCTGAACGGTATGCTGACAGATGGCGAATCGATCGAAAAGAATGCGATTACCCAATCGCTTTCAATTTAGACGCGGGTGCGAACAAATTTTACGAATGGGCGGACGAACAAATTGCGAACCTCGGAAGATGGAAAAGTCTGGAAATGATACTTTTTTCCTGAATAACAGTTGTAGGATTCGCCGTCCGATTAAGAACGTCTTTGGCGATTTCTGTGAACGACCACCGAGTTGTTCCGAACGGTGGTCTTTCGTACGATAGGGTCGTCATGTCTCCCTACTCTCCTTTCTCAGGGTACGATCGCACGGGACGGTGGAGGGAACGGGGAGCAGCTGGGGGTCTAATCTGTAACTCGCATAGTGCGCGATAAGACGGCTAAAGTTTTGCGAAAGAAAATTAGAGATCCGGAACGAAGGCACGTTCGTGCTTGTTCCGTTGGAAGAATGATCTCTTAACGAGGTATGTGGCCCATTCTGCCCCATCCAGCGCGTCTTGTCAACGAGCGAAACGGCAAAACACGTGTCGTAAAGGTAACGAGGGAAGGACAGTGCGGAAGGTTTAATGCACTGGAAATACCTTCTTTTGTATACAAAACGGAAGTAGAGAAACTTTTTCAAATTGTAAAGACTAAAACAATTCTTTACGGATAATTATGTATTCTTTAATAATTGTACAACGAGCCTGGGTCTCTTTTACTCTGCGCACTTTCTCCGGATGCCTTGTTGCGCCCTGGTCCTCGCATTCGGCCCCTTTGCTCCCTCTCCATATGTATAAACAAAGTTGCTAGCCCTTATCTCAGAGACCAAATATCTTGTGCTTTTCTGTTTTCTACGTTCATGAACCTTCCACCATGCTCTCTACTTCCACAATACTGCACGATAATTCTTTGTAATCGCAGTGACAAATAGATGTATATCATCTTTAGAATCAAACAACAAAATCCTAAGTTGGAAAGTATATACGTGTATCTCTGAAGAAGTTTGTACCACGGAAGGTTCATAGTCAATTCGGATCGACTCTCTTACTATCGTCACTCACGACGTCCATTCGAGAATTTCGCTTCTTACCGAGCAACACGATATAAATAGACGAAGTAGTAGACATCGTAGAACGCGCGGTGTATACCTAACGATGACTCTTAAATTGATTTCTAATTCATTCGATTAATTTTCAACAGAACTATTCCACTTATTCTCAGAGAAAAGTGTTACCCTCGATAAACAGGCATCGCCCAAATCCCGAAAAATCAACACTCTGGTTTTGGAGATCGATACATTATGAATAGACTTCTACTTAGGCCCGTCCCTCTGCGTGCGGAACGCTGCGCTTAAAGAATAGTCGTAGAAAAGTCTCGTAAGGAAACGAGGCGTATGAAAAATCACGAAATGTCCATACGGGCTTCTCAGAATTGTACTTAAGATTAGGCCGTAGAAATCGCGTAATAGATCCAAGAATTCGAGGGAGGGCATCCTTCCTTTTTTCATGTAGGTCCACGTCACGCACGTACCATAGATCCGTCGGTATGCAGAATGATGAGTGACATTAGGAATTAAACGTAATTCATCCGACACTCCTTCGTTTATACTTTAACTACGCATCGTTTAATAGTAACGTACGCAAGTATAAGTAATCGCGCTCGTGGCTCAACCAAGATGTTTTAGGATTCGTATAATGAGCATAGTTAATTTGCTGGCAACGATAACGATATCGTTGAAGCCAGACTTATCGTGTCCCCGGGTCTCTGCGAAATACCGCGATATTCGATCAATACGAGCAGGTATTCGACGGGTGCTCACGCGTTTTCGTTTCGCGTAGCGAGGGCTGTTGCCGTTTGCCGGTTTCGTAGCATCGGGCATGTGGAAAAACAGAAAGGACATTTTCGGGCAGGGAGAGAGCGAAGATAAAACGCGTACCGTATATATACGGATGGTTAGAACCCGATGGAGGGGGACCGAGAGCGAGACAACGGAATTCGAGCTACCTGAGAAACCTTCGGGAAAGTGGGCTAAACATCGGTGACACAGGCCTAGCCGTTGCCTATGTCGTGCGATTTATCTATCTGCGAAACTTGCGAATTCTATACTGTGTTGTCGCGTATCTTTCTTATCGTTATGCACGGATTGGGCAGCTTTTTTCTTCCACAGCGCACGATAAGATGTCGAGCATTGGTACTCGCTGAGTGGCAACGAATCACACAATTGAAGTTAATACTCGAAATCAATCTACAATTACATACCCTGATGCTGTCACTTATGATATCATATCAATCTAACAGGATTTAACAGTTCATTGAAAATGTTATAGAGTAAAAAAAGTTCATTATAAATGGAAGATAAATGTCGTTCTATATATTTTGCTTATACGTTTGATCATTTGCATGAATCACTGCCTGTAATCTCTGTATTATATTTCGGCGGTCGTGCATAAGATACACTGATTAGAAAAGCAACGTCGATTTAAGCTTGAATTCTGAATCTGAGAGTAATCTAGGAAATATGTATATGCACTATTAACTTACATATCTAACCCGATTTTACTTCATGTAATCTCCTTCTGCCAGAAGGGTGAAAATAGCGGACTCGTATCGGAGGTAAATTAATAGATATATTTCGGTTGAACGGAAAACGTAGCCGTCGACCTTTGACTGACTATGTTTTACCCTCGATCCGTGGAACCGTGTGCAATTTTACCTTAAGTAGATGCCGATAGCGATTTTGTGCGAAGCCTACATCCGCTTCGAGCAACACTAACGACCGGAATTTTTGTTGGATGCTAGGACCGAGTTTTCCACGTAGCCGCTGCTTGACGGAGATACTATATGTAATCCTGTTGTTCTCGTTACAGACACCATCGCGAGCAGTTCGGTGGTGTACTTAGAAAAATGTCCGGAGTGGGGAAGAGGACCTACCTTCGCGATGTGAACTCCTATCTCATTTGTCCGTTATGCAGGGGTTACCTTATAGATGCAACGACTGTTCTCGAGTGTTTGCATTCGTGTAAGTAAAGTGAATTAGAGATATTCGATTCCGTTTCGATTGTTTAAAAAGTCAATCTTTTGAATCGATTCTTTGGTATCCTATTTTTTCCAAACACGATTCCTTGATCAGTCGATTTTTTGCCGTCTGGGGAATTATGAAAGTACGACACTAACTTGAAGCTAGAGCAGAAAGAAAAATACTTGCCAATTGTGGCAACATCTGTACTTTCCGAACGGGTATTCTCTAAAGCTGGAAATATTTCAAATGATCACAGAAATAGGTTAACACCGGAACATGTGTATCAATTATTATTCTTAAATTCTTTACCACTTAACGAATGGCAAGTAAGTGATACGTGATGTTTGAAATGAATGACAAAAAATTTTTGTTTTCTTGAACACAATGTCCTTCAATAATATGCCCATATATCCAACTTCAAAGAAAAAAACGAACTAATTTATCTACTTATTTATTTACATCGTTTCTCTAAAAGAATCGATGTTTTGCGGAGGCTCAAACATCTCTAAAGTGAATCGAATCTGAGTATCCAAACGGATAATGATACAGTCGTCTTTTCTGATTTTGCAGTTTGTAGAACCTGTATTCTAAAGCATCTCAACGCGAAAGCTCATTGTCCTTCGTGCAAGCACGATCTCAATAAAGCGAAGCCGAACATCAAGTACGTTTCAATCCGGATCGATTTAAATTCAAAACGCATCGGATTGATCGTAATGATTGTTTTTTATTTACAGAGCCGATAAAGCGTTGCAAGACATCGTCTACAAATTAGTCCCAGGACTGTATCATAAGGAAATGCGAAGAAGAAGGGAGTTTTATAAAAAACATCCGGAACATGGTAAGTGAATTCGTGATTCGATTGCATGTTTTTACTACGTTTTCTTCTATATCGACAAATATAAAAGGACTTTCAATTGAAATCAGAGTGAATTCCGCTGGTAGCCTGATAATCTTTGCACCGGAAGACATTATTGCCAATGTAATTTATATACTGGGTGTTCGGTAACTGGTACAAGCGAAAAAGAGGATGATTTTATATGAAAAAATAAGTCGAAAATATAGAATAAAATTTTTTAATGCGAGGCTTTGTTTTTCGAGGACATCGACTCTGAATTTTCGCCGGGTACGCGTGCACTTGATCATGTCTCTGATAGTGTTTAGCGGTGAAGGTAAGATAGTAAGATGATGGATCAAGACGCTGACTCGATGAGGACAAAGGGCTGCGAGAGTAAGGCATTTTTTAGTCGACTTCTGATGAAGACACATCGTTACTTTTGTGACTTCGTTAAATTTCTTAATAATGTTTGATTTTAAGACGTAGCTTGTGATTCCTCAAACGTAAACTCTTACATTCGACTTACTTTTTCATGTAGAATCACCCCCTTTTCGTTTATATCACCAGTTACCGAATACTCTGTATAGAGATTATTCAGTAACACATTCAGTACACATCCTTATCGTAAGCGAAACCGCGACGGCGATGCTAATATTTTTATGATACCTTAATTTTCTATTTAGCGGATTTGGCGACTCCGGAGCAACGTGGAGAGGACGTCAGTGGGAGATTAATCTTCGCCCCGGAAGATGCAGTTAGCTTAAGCTTAGAGTATTTGCCACCTGGGTTAGATCCCATGGTGGCGGTTGGCCCTAACGATGATACCAACAATTCGAATACATCTAATAACCAAAACGGAAGCAACAATACCAACAGTAATAGTAGCAACAGCAGTAACAATCACAGCGAACATATAAGGACTAATAGACGATACCTTCAGTGCCCGGCGTTGGTGACAATCGCGCATCTGAAGAAATTTTTAGCTTTGAAGTACAGCGTCGACATGACTAGATACACCATAGAGATTTGTCATCGACGGCGCGCTCCGCTTCCAGAAAATTGGACCCTCATGGATGTTGCTTACATCTACGCGTGGAAAAGGGTACGCCATTATTTATCGGTCAGTTACTATCTTTTATACTAAAACACCAGATTTAATGTTTGAAAACTGCGTGTTTCAGAACGCACCTATGCGGTTCTTCTACCGAATTGCGTACGAGGAATTAGAGGCACCCCCATACGATAGACCTTCCACGCCAGGTTTGGGTGCCAGTTTACCTCCCGTTGATGTGGTTATTACACAGGACAGCGCTCATTCTGAGGATGCCGAAAACGACACGCAACCGAGACCTGAAGTGAAACGTATAAACAATGCCAATGAAAAATCCGCGTTGGACAATCAGAATAGTGAAGTAGTTAGTGAGAAATCGCGATTATCAAGCAATCAAGTATCCACGAACAAGAGCACAGAGATGAATCCTAAGGAGGGACAGCCATCGGATGGCGCAGTATTGTCGCCATCGACAACGACGGTTACAGTTTCGACAGCACCGACGAATAGCACATCAACAGTGTCAGTGACGAGTACAGTTGCTTCGCCGACGCCGATTTCAAATGCCGAAAACAAACAAAGTAAGACGCCTATTAAGATACTGAAGAATTCGGAAGGAAGATACGAAGTTCTCAAAAGCCCACCGTATAAGTGTAACACTAAGGAAGAGACCGCTGTGAGTACCGAAACGAAATCTTCGAACCCGGAATTCAGTGTCGTGAGTATAGGCAGTGGACAGAACTCGAACGGAGTAAAGATTACATTGAAGCAGTGCTCGCCGAACAATACGTGTCCCAATAAGCCGACAGTTATCAGCGATGTTTTATTGCGTTCCAGCCATATGGACGAAGATATTGCCACTAGTGCATTAATGCTTCAGCAATTTCAAAGAGAAAAGGAGAGACAACAACTCGAGAAACAGGCGAGGCAACAAGTCGAGAAACATGAGAGACAACAAGTCGAGAAACAGGAGAGACTACAATTCGAGAAACACGAGAAACAACAAGCCGGGAAACAAGAGAAACAACAAGTCGAGAAAAAAGAAAAACATCAAACCGAGAAACAGGAGAAACAACAAGTCGAGAAACGGGAGAAACCACTAGTCGAGAAACAGGAGAAACAACAAGTCGAGAAACGGGAGAAACCACTAGTCGAGAAACGGGAGAAACAACCAGTCGAGAAACAGGAGAAACAAATCGAAAGACAGGAGAAACAGCGAAGAAGAGTAACGTTCGTGGAAAGAATGACTCCCGAGAAAACTACGACTGGTAACGCGTTGAAGAGTATACAGAAGAAACTGGGAGAACAAGAGAAGAAGCAATTCCTTCAGGGTTTTCAGTTAACGGCCAGGGAGTCAATATCAGAAATAGCATTAAAGTCTTCCTCCAGGTCAAACGAGAGGAGTGTTAGTAACGTATCGAGTAGCGTTCAGAGCAGGATGAATATTATGTCAAAGAAAGAGGACAATGTGACAACAGAAACTAGGAGTAACGTAGGAAATGCTAAGAATAAGAATAATGGCGGGAATATCAGTGTAAATACGAATACAAGTAACCGACTTACAACAGTAAGTGCAATTGGAAATGCGCGAGTGAATGTAAATAAACAGTACAATGATGTTGATACCTGCACACTCAATTATTCGAAGAACACCAACGAAGCTATGAACATCATTGCAAACAGTAATAGTTCGACGACTGTGTTTCAATTTAACGATCTAACTGTGGTTCCTGCAGGAGCGGTAAAAAGGAAATGTCCTCCAGGAGTACCGCTTTTTGATGTCAAAAGGAAAAAACAGCATCAGATTCCGACACAAACCGTAAAGAAGCAACCTGCTGCATCTGCGCCTCCTATTGTGCAGGAAAACGCGAAATCATCGAGAAAAATGACAACAGATCAAGTCACAGTGAGAAGAAGTACGAATGTCATCGGTGAAGCTGGCCCTAGTCGTATACCCACGACACCGAATTCCAAGTCCTCTTCTTCAAGTCCAGCACTATCGAACGACACAAGAAACATATTAGACGGTTGCGGATTAAACATACCCGCAAGTCTCAGTATAACTCTGACAGCTGCAAGGTCTCCTAGTAGCAATAGCTTATTCCCCGAACCAAACGGTTCCAAAGATGGTCGAAAAAGCACGTTGGGAAAAGTGAATCCTAGTATTACTCTTAACGACAGATCCGTGGATCCGCGAGTTTTGAAAGCGTTAAAAGCAGGACAAATAAAAATGCCCGGGCCACCTAAACCGAAACAAATTACAACGCAACAGGAACGTGAGGTGAACCAGCAATATCATACATCTCCTGGCAAACGGAAAAGGGATCAGGATTCGAGAGATATTCTGGATCTCAGTGGAGGAAAGAAAATGGATATGCATCCACTAAGAATACCACAGCCGGTAGGCTCTATGAGCCCCAAAATAAAACCGGCGCCCACAGAAATATCGAATAATATAAAAACACAGCTTGTGACTAGGCTCGACGGTCAAAGATTTTATCAAGTAGCACCGGGTTGTAACACTCCAGCCCGGATACCAGAATGTGCGATTCCATCACCGAGAACACCAGTCTACGCCCATAGTGGATTTTTGATCGGGTAAGTCATCCGCCAATTTTTTCGGTTTAATGGAGATAATGAGTCAAATTGTATTTATAAGTAACAAATAATTACTTTTGTTTCATATTTTCAGTCCTTTGCCCAACAGCAAGCCAAGCAATCTTCCAAATCTATCCTCTGTTTTTCCAAGCCTACAGAGTCTTTTCGCCCTTAGTCAACAAGCGCCGAACGTCCAACGGCTTCAAATCGATACAAGACTGAGGCTACCTCAAGGAACAGAGCCCTCGAGTGAACCTATAGACCCTGTGAAATCAAGTCAACAATTGTCCGTCCAGACGAAGTATTCCCCGGTCACGGAATCTAACAACCGATGTTCCCCGCGAAGTGTAACCAATAACGGCAACGCAAACAACGAGAATAATAAGCCGTCTACTGAAGTACCTCGCGATTCTAATTTGGAAACTAACAATGATTGTAAAAAAGAACCGGACAATTTGTCACGACAGACGCCTCATCGCGAAGCAGCTAGTCCGAGAGTATCGTCTACGGCTTCTCCATCGCCGCCTCCTGGCGATACTAGCACAAGTACGACTAATGAAGCGACTAAAAATCGCGATGATACCGCAAACAGAAGCTCGAACGGAATCAATAATGATTTAGCAGCATCAAGCCTAAGGAAACCTAGTAATGCAAGTGTCGAGGTATCTAGTAGTAAATCACCTGCTAGTCCAGACTCTAGTTCAGTAATGATTGAAAATCGTTCCGGCAAGGAATGCACTACTGTGGAACAAGAACTAGCTTCTTCTTCACAGGCATCAGACCCATCGAAATTATCGGAGCATTCGACGAAAATGGATAACAATGTCACTGAAGATTCGACCATCGATAATGACAAAAAAGTGTGCTCGAAACAAACGGATGCGAAACAGTTGACCTCTGAAATGTTTCAAAAGAGATTGCTAGCTGCGTTTCCTTCAGACGAGTGGGCAAATAATCCAATAGCTGCGGAACATCTCGGGAACTTTTTAAAAAGTTTGAATGAATCGATTAAGTCGGAAAATAAAGTGGAAAACGTGGGATCGGAGAAGGTCGAAAGTCAGATCGCGCGAAAGGACGCGCCTAGTTTAAATAACGAAGCTTCGTCTAAATCTCGTACCGACGTTGCCGAGTCGTCATAATGAAGTGAACTTACATCTCTAACGACGAATGAAAGACTTCATTATTGAATGAAAGATAAAACTAAATCACTGCCAGATACCAATGTATGCTGTTGAATGTCTTTTCAATGTGGATATACGTGTACCGATTTCTACGTACAGACATATTTAAAATGCTTTAAGACCATAGTATAGAGACGCGGCGTACACACGTCGCACGATACAGGGAAAAATACAGCACAACGCTGGAACTTTATTTTTTCAAATTTTTAAAGAAAACAACTTCAAGAAGTTTTATCTATGAGTTTTCAACATGCGTATGCCTGTCGTATTGCTCAGTGATAAAATAATACGCAGACGATTCATAAAAACAGTAACACATTTTAGAAATTGGGTAATTAAGCTCATACATACAAATGTATACGAGAGATTCGATGGAAAAATGATGTAAGTGTACATAAAAATGTATGTACATACGCAAATTCACATTTGTCTAAAGTGAATATTATACAAATATTTTTTAATGATCGTGTGTAATAAAGTATACAATACTATATTTTCAAACTGTACAGATTTCTATTGGAAACTTTAATTTTGTCTATATTTCTCGAATACAGAAATTTACTTGTGTCACTTTTCCATTGAACCTTTCATATCATACATATAACTTAGTTAATGCCAGATCGTATAAAAAATGACCATTTACATTTCATTAAATAATATTTTATTATGGAAAATACTGGAAGAAATGACTAGAATGCTCGTTGTTAACGGAGCTTTAATTAATCACTTATTCTTTTTTATGAATCTCTTCCTATGATAATATAAAAATCTTGGCTTAAATACGTTTATATACAGTAACGTATGTTCAATGTATTTTTGAATTTCCGTACGTAAAAATCAAATTTTTTTCTGGTTAACTTTAATACGTCGGTACCGTACGTACGATGCCCAATAAACAATGGACAAGGTTTTTTATAAAACTGATATCTGATTCATATGATAATTTCATTTGTAACGAGATTGTTCCTACCTTCGGTCCTCACAATGAAAGCAGAAACATTCATCGAAATACCTCGCACTGTATTAAGAACTGTTACCATGATTTAATTTTCAATTACTTGAATTCCTTCAACGAGTATGCGAATGTAGGAACTGGTTCGGCACAACGAAAACTAATTAACCGATCTACTTTCCTACTCGCGATTGTACGTAATAAGAAAGACAGGGACCGAAAATAAATAGGAAAAAACCATAAGGAATAAAACTAATTACATAATTGCATTTGTATGAATGACACGTACGCTATTATTGTTAGTCTTTCATTTACTTTATGTTACGTTTCACTATTAGTTACTACTATGTATACGTTGTATAATAATTGTTACGTTATGCGACTGTATTATAGTATATCTCTTGATCTGTATATATTTATATTTGCGTTAAATATGTCGTTCTTTCAACATGTGCACAAAATCCTATTACTTTGTAAGTTCGAAATTTATCAATTTCAATTGTAAATTCCTCTGGTTCTAACATCGTCGGAATTTTTCAACGTGAGTGTATGAATGTTGATTTTTAAATGATGAGGACAAAGAAGCTAACATGTAACGACAAAAGAATATATCATTATATACTGAAACAAGACATCCACCGTATTTCTTTCTTTTCCTTCTAACCTGCGTTAAAAATCGAACAATTAACGAAAATGTTACGTATTACATTGAAGAACGAAATTATGTTTAAATCTAGCAGTATCGATGCCAGATCGAGGATCGAAAAAATAAAACGTACAGTTATTACTCGTTTTGAATTTTGTCCCTCTAGGGAAAACTAACACAAGCCTGAACTGGCTCTGTTACTAGCCTACTAGTGCCAGAGAGAAAATGCTAGTGCACGCCCCAAAAGTCCCACGATGTGTCAACACTGCGTCAACCAGTAAACGTCGTCAACAATGACAACGATGTTACCTCCTTAGATAAACACGTAACTTTAAGGTTATATACATCGTGGTTATGGTTTTCAACAAAATGAATGGTTGATTAACCTATTCTGTAATGTTAGTTTAAGCGTGTAAGGTTTTCTGTTATATTTATGCGGTGCGCGTTAAAATGAGCAATACGAAGGAAAATTCTACGATTCCGGCGAAAAATACAACTACAGGAAATACAAAGCCGTACGGAAAAATTGTGCTAACACTACAAAATTGTCTTCTACCCGATGAAAAGCTTAACTCGACGCCGTCCTATTTAGATGGGCTAGATGCAGAAACTGAAACAGACTTGAGGATATTAGGATGTGAACTAATACAGACAGCTGGCATTTTACTAAAATTACCACAGGTTCGTGATATTTTTCGATGTAACTATCTGCAAATCTTACAACCTATATAACCTATAAGTATATAATTGTTCTTTGTATTACTTTGTTTCAATAGGTTGCAATGGCCACAGGACAAGTAATATTTCAACGATTTTATTATAGTAAGTCCTTAGTTAGACATAATATGGAAACGACTGCGATGGGTTGTATCTGTCTGGCAAGTAAAATTGAAGAAGCACCCAGGCGTATCAGAGATGTTATTAATGTATTTAATCATATAAAACAAGTTTCTAGCCAAAAGTAAGTATTACTTTCCATTTTCAATATAGTTATTAAATTACATGTATATGCAAATAATAACTAATAATATTGTTTCAGGCCAATACAGCCAGTAATACTTGATCAAAATTACGTAGCTCTAAAAAATCAAGTAATTAAATGTGAGAGGAGAGTTTTGAAAGAATTAGGTTTCTGTGTTCACGTTAAACATCCACATAAAATTATAGTCATGTACTTGCAAGTATTGGGATATGAAAAGAATCATGCTTTGATGCAACTGTGTTGGAATTATATGAACGATTCTCTGAGGTCTGATGTGTTCTTAAGACATCAACCAGAGACTGTTGCTTGTGCATGTGTGTATTTGGGAGCGAGACAACTACAATTACCTCTACCTACTTCTCCAGCTTGGTTTTCCCTCTTTAAAGTTACCGAATCTTCAATTAGAGATGTTTGCCGTCGTATATTACGACTCTATTTTCGATCACGCGTTAAACCAGAACAGTTGGAAAAACGCGTGGAAGAGCTTCGGCGACAATACGAGGAAGCGAGAACCAAAGCAAGAAGTGGAGATGTGGACAGTCATACACCGAGCCCACCACTGCCAAAACATCATAATGCCTGGGGTGGATTCATTAGTCGTAGCGGAACTCATGCAGCACCCGAAAGGACAAAATCGCCTAGGTATTATACATTGAACTTGAGAAAATGGAACTATTTCAAATTCATATTTAATCTTAATTTCTGTTTAGGCGTTCGAAATCACCAAGTACTTCACCATCTAGAGGTGAAGGAACAAAGCATTCCAAGAGAAAGAAACATAGTAGAAGCAGATCCCGCAGTCATAGCCATGGACGTTCGCGAAAACCGAAAAAGACGCAACGAAGGCGCTCCGGCAGTCACAAATCATCGCGCAGCCGTTATAGGTCGCGCAGCCGATCCAGAGATAGAGATGTAGAAAAATCTAGTAAACATCGCAGTAAACATAGGCGACACTGAATCGTTCAATGTACAAAGAATAATTGCGTATGTTCGATTGAAAAAAGATGCTGCGATCACATCAGGAACAATCCAATCCAATTGAATTTGGAATATAATATGAGGCCTTTTTTATCTCTGTTAATTAACGTACAATTATAGAACAATTAATTTCTGCTGTAGGACACATGTATTGAATTAAATTAAAAATCGCAACTGTAGATTTAAACAAATTAGCTCTTCGGCGAAATAAGCTCAAGTACCTCAGGGAATGGGTACTTGGACATAAATATTACGAATAACGATACTTAAAGGGGGCGTGTATTTAATACAAAACTTGGAAAATAAAATTTTGTATTCATGTAGCGTCTTGTACTTTTTTGTAAAACCCAGCAGGTGCTGCTTTCTTTCTTTCAGTAGATAACACTGCTGAAAAGTCTAGCGATGTTAATTGCGGCAGGATATGAACAACATATCCTCTATAAAATGGAAGATGGCCGATAGGGTTTCCGTGTAGTGTTAAAGATTTAAGATTTTGCAATTTTTTCAGTTTCACAACATCGTTTATGTCCGTAATATTGTTTCCGTGCAAATAACATATCTTTAAATTCGGGAATTTAGTTATGTCGTCTCCGATTGTTGCTAGTTCGTTAAAAGAGATATCAAGCCAGCTAAGATGGAACGGTTCGTCTAGAACTTGTCGCACGAGGTTTTCAAATCCATCCAACGAAGACAATGAATTATTGCTTAACCATAAGGAACACGTTACAAAACGATCTGCAGGTGTTCGCAACGGAATTTTACCCGTTCGCACTGATTGTGGACGTTTAGCTGCTAATTCTCTTGTAATAAAAAGAACATTTTTATCAACATTTCTTTTCGTTCTAAAGAACACGGAATAATTCCAATAAGATGAAAAACGTAAATTTTTGCGTATAATTTTTCATACTCAGTAACGTACCAGACATTGTACTTGCTTTTTTAAATGATAAATCCAACGGGGCAGCTATCAACATTTCTTGGCGTTCGGAACGTCTATAATCAGAAAATGTTTTATTGTCGTACGGAATAGTGTTATCCATTTTAATGTAATGATGAACAATAAATATCCGCCAAGCGAGTGTTGGAGATATTACTCCAATATTGACATTAGGAATGCATATGAAAAAATATGCACTTAAAATTATTTCTCAATTCTCAGTATTAATATTATTAAAATTTTCGTTTATCACTGCTCTTCGCCGAATTTTTCCGAGTAATATAGACAGTCACTTATCCTATGTACACAAGAATTAGTATTATATATATTCATATTCATTCCGTATACATCTTAAGATAAAAAACAGTAAGAATTAAAATTATTTATTGCATTATAAAACTTTTAGAATAGATTTGATTACATTAAAAGTACAGTAGTTCTCTGAATTGACTAATACATAATTTAAAAAATTCGCCGCGTATATTTTTTGTAATTTAATGTGATTGACTAGATTGATTTGGATGTTTTTCTGAACGATCAGCGTAGTTCTCGCGAACATCGTTAGAGTGTAGATACGTTTCCACAGCCGACTCTCAGTATCTTTTGTAATCATTGGTATTAAAATTGAAATATGTAAACTGTTAACGGCTGTAAACGGAAAGAAAAATATTTTAATGTGAGTACAGCAAAGAATTTGTAATTCTGATATAACTAACCATAAGGACTAACTTATAAAGAAACCGTGACGTACAGTAGGCAAAAATCAACTTGGCTGAATTCCTCAATTCGATTCCATTAAAAATGCCGCGAACGAAACATGCTCGGAAACCGAAGGTGGACCAATTTACAGAAGAAAGTGATTTATTAATCAGAGATTTTGAGCGGAAAGCACATTTACGAATTTTAAAAATGGAAGGAGATGGACGAATGGCGATAAGAAGTCTTGAAACTTTTATTGATGGTATTTTAGCTGGACTTCCAAGCGAGGTACTGCAGATGACTCTTGGTGAAATACTCGGCAAAAAGATTGAGAATGAAAAGGAGAATTATAATGAAGTTTCATCATCCATTGAAAATGATATGATGACATCAGTATCAAAAACTGTGAAACAAAAGAAGACTAGTAAGAGGATTACAAGTACAACAGACGATGGATACATGACTGAGGAAGTTCCGACAACATGTCTGTCCAGGGCCAGGAATGTCAAAAGGAACACCACTGCTAGAACAACACGAAGTAGCTCAAGAAACAGCAAACTAAAGTTCATTGATGCTAACCAAAGTACTGTAAAGAAGACAGCAAAGAAGGAAGATAATGAAGAATTCAAGAAATTTAAAACTCCAGCTGCTTCAAAACCTGGAGGGTATGAGTTTAGTGTCGTAACTCCAAAAATAAAACCTAATACACCTTTAAATGTATTAAGGAGACCCAGACAAGGAGAAATGGTACTCAGTATGCAAGGCAGCCCCTTATTAGTTTCTGCTATTGTTGAAGAACATACTGCCAATGTTAATGTACCTCTGCGTAATGGAAATGTTATTTCTTTGTTACCTAATGATGGTCTACGTATGTCAAACATCCCTACATTAGATCCAGAAACCATGAGGCAATTAGAGACCTTAAAAGATCACATTAACAAAGTTATCTCATCGAAATAATTAAGAGGATAATGTTAGGATAAATTTCATAGGATGTATTTAAAATTGGACTGTTCTGTGTGAATGAATGATTCCTTATTAGTTATCATATATAACAAATCTTATGAAATGTCATAAAACGCTAAGATAATATTTTTGTACAATATCATTAAGGTCAATATAATAGCGATTTGTGTATAATTTTTATAGAAACCACTTAATAATATAATTAGGTTTCTACAATATCCTTAAGAGTTATAATAAGAGTGTATGATATAATAAAAGTTATAAAAACTATTTGAACTGTAATTGAATACATACATTCAATTTTCCAAAATTATAAAATGTATTACATGTAATACACACTTTATTTTATTATTTTTGTATTATTCCAATGAGTTACTAATGCATGTATAATTGCGAAGAACGTGAAGTTATATCCTAAAAAATTTTTGAGGTCTACTGTACGTGTGCATGTGCATGCGCATACTAGACCTGTCAAACGAAGGGACTGCTTGTATATGCATTATTCTACCTTGTGATACTCGTAGTGTTTTTAGATTGTATAAAATAATGTATAAAATATCGCAGTGTCTTCTCGTACTGAACATGAACTAACGTGGTTTCCTCGCATTGATTGTAACTTACCGTTTTCGGTATTATTTATCGTATGATATAAGTGTTAAATGTCTAGAAAAGTGATTTAAGGATATCAAAGCACGCGTCATTGAGTTCGTTAACACGGATTTCTGGGCGGCGTAAAATAAATATCTGGGAATTTAAACAAATGGAAAATGAGAATTTGAAGGATTTACGCCTGATCCTGTAATCTCGCTATCGTTGAAAAGTTCCGAAAAAACAACGAATGTCTCGCTCTTTCTTACTATCTCGCAAGCAACTGGTATATTAGTTATATATTATATAAAATGTAAGGTAACCTTCAACGAATTTTATAAAAATATGCGCTTCTAAACATTATTTAATTACGCTATATATGGAGAAGGACAAGTTGTACATCAAACTGGAATAACACTTAATTGATAGACTACTTTTAGTAAACATAATTTCCTCTTAAACATAATATGGAAATGTTTGCATAAGGTGCTCTCTTAATATACAAATCAACATGGTACGTGTAATCACAGTACATAATTTTTTGGGACAAAACATTACTCAAATCGAGGAGCCGACTGCAAGCTGCATAGCACATGCAACTGGCCATGAAATGCTCCTCTTGGCACTTTCAACACATTGTGTTGAAGTGTGGGAATTGACGTTGTCTGATATTAAGCTGCATACTGTTTTCCCAACAGTAGATATGATAAATCAAATGCTGCACTGTGCCAAAGGAGATTATGTAGTAACAATAGAATCAAAATTGTCTAGAGAAGCAAGTAGTAACAACCACGCAGGAAAAGGAATTAATAATTTTGTTAGAATCTACGTTAACTGGAGTATGGTAAAGGATCAAAGTCAACCAATGCGTGCTAGAATAGCAGGACGTGTCACCCCAAGCTTAAATCGACCACTAAATAGCTTGGAGATGATTGAACTACCATTAAATGTACAACCCACACAGATTGCTTGTTGTCAAAGTACTGGCAATCTTCTGGTCGTCTCTGGAAACAGTGCTATCCTCCATGAATTCAAAATTGAAACTCAACAAGTATCGAAGATGAAATTTATAGATTTTGAAGCAAGACCTTGGTCATTAGGATTTTCATTTTCTCCTACTCACATAGAAATCGTTGAAGATTTCATATCAGTTATGGACAAGACGAATTTGTCAATTTTCCGACTAACTAATTCAATGTATGAAGACATTGATCAACTAAGTTCTTTAACTTCTACAAACTCTTCATCTATTGATAAAACCTCGATATCCACTGATTCTTCTCTCGTGGAAAATAGTACAATTAATCAAGACGACAACATATTGTTCCAAGGGATAAATTCAAAGCGTAAAAGTTCCAATCAAGATCTTCACCTTATTGTACCAGAAAACAATGATCCGAGTGGAACGAACGCGAAATTGAAAAACAGAAAACATAGGAATTCTAAAACAAGTGTATGGAGCAAACTGGAGACTGGAGAATTTAGAAAAATCAGATCTAATAACAATGAGGCTGTTATAAATTTAGATCATTTGATGTACAATGAGAAAGATGAATTACAAAGATTAATTGATCAAGAGATAGTTGACGGGAGTTCACAACCCTTGACTATTAATTTGCCATCTATAAGTTTGGAAAGAGCAGGACCTGGACATACTTTAAGCCCGTTCATATTAAATCCATCAGACATAAAGATCGTGATTAAGACGAACTCACCTGACGTAGGGTGGTCGGAGAATTATACAATAAAGACTTTATTGTCTCTTAAAATAATGGCAACTAATAACAATGCTAAACTCGATAGAAGCTCAGAGCTGTTCAGTTGTTCTTTATTAAAGCCATTATATATGAGAAAAGAGTGCAATACAACTTGCTTAAAGAAATCAATGCTCAGATCAGACAAATATACATATTTGCAAGGCGTAAGTTGCTTCCTATGTACATTGCAAGAAGGATATCTTTACCACTTTTCTGCTGCTAGTTCCAATCCTACAGACGCGACCTGTTTAACTACGTATCCATTTACTGCGCCTGTTAATCACGTAGCACTGGAACATACTATCTTGCACGCATTGACAGAAGCTGGTCTAGAGTCTTATACGTTACGTTTGTCTCATCACGTAGCGAAAAGTTCAAACGATATAAGTAATTTAAGAATTAGGTGTCCCAGCGTTTCTGAGCCTGTGTGTCTTATCGGACTACGTCCATTTCTGGGTATACAACAACTATTGCATAGTAAAAGTTATCTAGTCCTATTGGCCAAAGCTGAAAACTCTTGGACGTTGTATTCTTTAATTTTTCCTAAATTGGAAAACTTGTATTATGATATCTTGAACGCGGCAAGGAGTCACAAATCGTCTAGTCCGAGCACCTATCGACACTTATTGGGAGAGGCTCACGCTTTGATACGCTTAGCCAAAGATGCCGCATACAATAGCTCAGACATCAACGAATTCGATGATACCACAAATAAAAATGAATTGAAACTGAAGAATTTGTATAATCAATCGTGTGCACTGCTTGGCGATTATTACATTCGTTCCGAGTATGAATCTGATTGGGACTTTTGTATACCCTACTATAAAATGTCGGGATTGAAACCTTCGGAAGTGTTATCCAGAAAATCAAGTCAAGACGCACCTGGTCTAGTCACATTTTTAACTGATATACTCTTAACGATGAAAAGTGGTCCAGACGCTGATGCATTGTTCCAAGGGTTCAATATTATAGATATTATATGTAAATTGAAGAAATTAGATCTATTGAAATTGATTTTCAGTAGTCCTGTATTGCGAGAGTATACCACAGAAAAATTGATACACCTTTTACTCTTATACGAAACGGACGAATTAGTAAAATTAGCATTAGCGCTCTTATACATACAAGCTGAAAAACAAGAACAGGCAGAAAAGATACTTGAGCCAGTTTCGAGTTTATGCGTCAAAAGGGTAGTTTTAGAACACTACGATCTACTGTTCGATATGACGGCTATGAAGAAGAGAAGTCCGATGATACCAACGTTCTCCGATTTCGCCGGGACGTTAATGCGTCAAAAGAATTCAACTTTCGCTGAAATTCTAATACAGATCATTGAAGACGACGAACTTCTATCCCTTCATCAAATTATACAAGTGTTCTTAGAATATTTACCATCAAGAGTAGGAAGGGACGGTCACAATGCAGCAATGACATTACAAGTTTTCCTCGAAAGATATCTTCATAATTACTTTAGTACAAAGCTGATTATAGATTCAACAGTTATAAATAAAAATCAAATACGATCAGATTTTGCTTTGGTCGAAGCATTTAAGTTACTAGTACGGTCGTACCTAGGCAAATTAAGTCAAACGAAAGTGTACAAAGTAGAGAATAAAGAGAACATACAAGGGAATTACGACAACTTCATATTCGCCAAGTTTAGACCTAATTATCTAAACGGGATGCCGCCGTATGCGAAAGATTATCAAAAAGTTTTAAACATGTGCGATTTGAAAGATCTAGCCGAGATCGATAAGACTGACTCTGAGAAAACTGTATCAACGGAATTGTTTAAATTACAGTCTGTATTGTCGTGTGATTTTATACCAAATGAATGCTTGTACGAAGTCAGGCAGTTTCTTGACACGCAAGAAATTGATGGTAGCTTGTCCTTAAAAACACTGTGCGCTCAAAATACAGAAGAAGCGACAGCACTTTTAATGGCAGACTGTCCACAAGCTGTTGTGCATTATGCGAAGGTACATTCTTTTTTCAGTTCGTTATTTCCATGGCACATCAAATTATCTTCTAAAATAAAATTTGAATGTATTAATAATTTCAGGACATGTACACTAAGGATTCTGAATGGAAGTATTTGATCGAGTTGACGCAAGACAAAATTTCTGCATCGGTCGCTCGGCAAGACTTGCATTGTTTGTATACGCAAATTATGAAAGGTAAATTAGTCTCGATATTTATTCATGAAAAAAACAAGTTAATTTACAGATTATATTAAGTATAGCTTACTGTTTATCGTTCTAGCAATTTTAAATTACCTACCGCACACGTTATCTCTGAAAAGCCTGCACCGTGTTCTTCCGAAAGACGACGTAACAGCATTTCAAAAATGCAGCGAGATGTGTAATCAAATTATGCACGCGGAACACGTGAAATCTTTGATAATGGAAACGGGACAACAACTTCTGTCAACTCTAAAGTTGTGAGCGATAGTCTCAACTGATCAATTTCATCGTCGCGTCGTTTGACGATAGTATAGGTCCAATCTGATTTAGTATTAAAACAGAACGTGCAACAAAATGTTACGTTGCATGTTATATAGCAAAAATAGAATTGCAATGTTATAGTACTTAACTGAATTTCTTGAGAACAATAATTCTCCATATGTGATATAACTTTTGTGAGTGACGATTTTCCACTTCGAATCAATTGACTTTTCAAATAATTAATATTTCTCTATTTTTTATCACATATCGAAAAGCTTTTTTCACTTTTATGGCTATTTATTCTTATTCAACGTAACAATCGAATTTTTATCAAATGCACAGTCTAAAATATATCTTCGATGTCTGGTCATATTTATACGTTGTTTTAGAAAGTGCACTATTTATTTTTATCCAATTAATTAAAGCATTCGAATTTCGTTACAATCTTAGCCACGCACAACATTTGTTTATGGACATAGCTATATTAGCAAAATGTCAAAAACTGAAGACAAATACTATAGATAAAATTAATTCACCTATTATTAATCGTTGAAATGTTCTATATAGATATATTGTGTCTAAACATATCCTGTCCTTTCCTTAGCTAGTGGAATAGTTAAATTATAATTGATAAATGTTTATACAGAAACCGAGCGAATAGATATTAACAATTTACAGTGCTATATATATATTTAATACAATAAATTGCTTTGTACACAGAGCTATGGAATTCTGTAGTAATCACGTATTTTTGACTGCTATTTAAATATTTCTATGAAGAATTTGTTGAAAATTGTTTATATTTCAATGGCTAAGGACGGGATGGCACGTGTTTACAGAATTAAATATTGCTAAGATAGTTACTTTTTATTATATTCGTTGACCCTATAATGTAGTATTTTCATCACTTTCTAAATGTTACAAAAAGTGTAACTTTGATGTGCCTTTAGGACTAATTTTTCTTTGTTATAAATCTAATATAATTATGTTAGAGGTGATCTATGATATTTATAAATTATGATAGAAATAATATATCTGGAAATCATATCAGAATGCTTCTTTATTTTATAATAATCGATCTTTATGGTACTATTCGTTTAGTTAGACAGAAAAGAAAGAACAAAATTATTTTATCATCATCTACGCTAATTCATTTTTATTAAATGTCTAACAATTTTGTAATATAGATATCTATAATCCCTTTATATATGATAAAACAATGGGAAGCAGTATACCTATAAAAGACATTTAACAGAGTAGTAAAAATATAAAATATCATGATTCGACATTTAAGATTTTTAACACAACCTCCCTTGTAGTAAACAATAATATGGTTGCAATATTTTTTTTAGATTTTTTTTATATGTACATTTTCCAACTACGAAAAATATTTTTAACCATTTTATTTTACGATATCTTAAATACTAAGTTAAAAGGAGTTCATACTTTTTAACAAACGTGTTCAATAAGTTTACAGGTTTTTATACAATCTCAAACTCCTTATTCAACCTTGTTAGATCTCTGAAATGATAAATGTCACATATATAGCAAGATTTTATATAAATAGTGTACATTGAAGATATTTGTCAAATTATCGTACCTGTTTTCTATAGCTTCATTTAAGTTGTATTTGTGCAATAACGAAATTACGAGTCTCAACGTCGACCAAATGGAATTCGACATCGCTTTTGGTGAACTTTCACCATGTATCCCGCGACCAGCAGCTTGTTGATTTAAGGCTATTACAAGGTGTTCACCCGCTTCTCTATAAATGAGATGAGTAATTTTGACGATAAAATTGTGCACAGTTTGTGACAAAATTATTTTACTTACTTATATGCACCAAGATTAATGCAGGAGATTCCGAGATTATATCGAGCTCTGATAAATCCAGGAGATAATTTTAAGGCATGATGGTACGCGTTTATAGATTCTTCCGGTTTCTGACCATTGGCTAAAGTTGCTCCTAATCTATTCCATAATCTGGAATCCTTTCAAAAGCAATATATTTTTAAATTATGCACTGATAACTGTCTATTTGCAATGAAAATAATGTAATTCATACATACATTTGGGCGCACTTGTAGCGCTGCCTGAAAACAATCGCTGGCTTTATCGTATTCCATAGTTAAAGTGAAAAGTACTCCTAATCCGCATTGCACATCTGGATCTATTTCATTTAATGGATTCATTCGTGCAGCTTGTATGTAAAGATCTTTTACTTCCTTGTGCATGTCACTACAAGAAGTAAATAGAATATTAGTTAATGCTTATTAAGAAATTCACTAAAGTTATTACTTTACTACTTTACTAGAAAGTACTTACTCAAATAGAATAGATGATACATCGGACTTTGCAATTTGCTCGAGACCGTCATTATTTTGTACTGAAAGATGCTTGTATTTTTCATTTTTTAATATCCATTCTTTAAGAGTTATGCATGCTTGGTTTTGATAAGATTCATTTGAATATGAGACTGCAAGTGCCATGAGAGCAGTACCATTGGCGGGATCCAAATTTAGACAACGTTTTAAAGCAGTAATAGCTAATGGATCTTGTTCATTCTCAGCTTGAGTTTTACCAAGAAGTAGCCAAGCCTCTGGATTATTTTCATTTTGCTGCACTGCTGCTTCAAAGCACAATATAGCACTTGGTAAATCTCCAGCTTCCAGTCTTCTCTTACCCTCTTCTAGTGCATCAGGCAAATCTTTCATTGGATTATCTTCTTGAAATTCATATTCTTTAAATGGATCATAAAATGTATCATACTCTGTAAGCCATGGATGCTTAGATTTTAAGTCGTCAGAGATCTTTTCCCATGCATTTTGAAGTTTCACCATTGAAGGTTCACTATTATCTGTTAACACTAAAATAAGAATTATCCTATACAAATCTGAAGAATTATCCTATACAAGTCTGAAGATAAACATAGATTCAAAATATCGTCCAACCTTCCTCTAAAGAAGAAACTTCTTTTGCAAATTCATCTATCCAACTACCAGCAACTGCCAATTCTTCTTGTGCCTTATTTGTTATTTCATTTTCAGTAGAAGTGTTGTCTCCAGACTTCTGAGCATCTGTTTCATATTCCTCTGTCCAATCTTTGCTTGTAGTAGGTGATTCTGGCAGTGATTGTTGGTGATCTTCTATAGGAGTATCTCCCTCTTGTTTCATAAATTTCATAAATTTTGAATATTCAAAATTAGGATTATCTTTATTCTCTATTTCTTTTTTCGAATGTTCCATATTCATGTTACTTTCCATAACGTCTATACTATGTTCCATATAATCCTCAGCCCATTTCGGGTCTAAACCCAGTTCATGTTCTTGGTTTTCCAGTTTTAGATCTGTTACATTTGCATTTTGTTCCAGTTCAGGAACCCAAATATCATCAGTGTGATGTTCCTATATTAGAGAACATATANAACAAGAAAAATTTAATTTCACTTATTGAACGAAATAAATGCTGAGTTAAAATATAAATGGTATAAAATATTTATGTAAAAATTAGCTTATACAATGTTGAAATACAGCGATATCATTGCCTGTATGAGACAAAAAAAACCGATCGTTGAAACGTATGAATATTGTTAAAGGTATAAAGTTCACGAACCTCTTTATGTGTAATGTAATTAAATACCCCCGTGGTACTGTTGATGTTAAACGTGCTTTGTACCGAGCTTACTGTTTAAGATTGCTCATTTCCCAGCCATCGAACAATATCGATAACTTGCATCGAATAATTTTTGCTGTACAGTGGTAGGGTACGCAAAATTATCATAGCAAATGAATGAACAAGTTAACGTAAGGACACGATGCATATTATAAAAACATTTTTTATGTGACGTTGGCTAATGAACGTCAAATCCCAGAGAAGCACGGTTGCTGAACTATCTAAATCCAGTCTGAAGCTTCGATGCACACCTTCCTTGTAACGAGTAGCGCCATACCTAGTAACGACTGTACACAAGTGCATTTCCTATATAT